TCAGCCAGCCAACCTAACCAAAACAGTGAGCTCCAGGTTCAGCCAGCCAGCCTAACCAAAATAATAAGTTCCAGGTTCAGCCAGTCAACCTCACCAAAACAGTGAGCTCCAGATTCAGCCAGCCAACCTCACTAAAACAGTTGAGTTCCATGTTCAGGCAACCAACCTCACCAAAACAGTGAGCTCCAGGTTCAGTGAGACACCTCTGGAGATACAAGGTAGAGAGTGATAGAGGAAGACACCACACATCACCCTCTGACTCCATATGCACACTCACACATGTGCACAAGCATGTGTGTGCACACACAGGAATACACATTGATACCACACAACAAAATTCTGCTTCTCTGTATGTAGCATAGTCACAATGAAGCTCATAGTCCCATAACTCTCTTTGTTACTGTTAAGGAGCAACAAGCATTGAGAAGTATGACCTCCGTACAAATATGTGGACGCCCGTAGCAAACATGAACGGGAGGAGACTGCAGTTCGGTGTCGCGGTGTTAGATGACAAACTGTACGTGGTTGGAGGGCGCGACGGACTGAAGACTTTGAACACTGTAGAGTGCTACAACCCCAAAACAAAGTCCTGGAGTGTGATGCCGCCTATGTCCACACATAGGCATGGGCTTGGTAAGTGCATCTGCAGACCCACTTAGAAAGCCAGGTTGCCGCTGCATTTTTCCCATCTGTACCAGGCAGAAGACCAGTGTGTGGGCTCAGTCAGCATCTGTTGCCAGGCTTCCCTCATACCTGTGAGGCAGAAGCCCCAACACGAGCACTTAGATAAATGTGGTACAGTAGTAAGCACGGGGCCCAAGGGGTTGAGGAAGCATGACGGGCTGACAGCCATGCTCTCACATTCGTGCTTTGTGTTAGGAGGATGTTGTGTGGCCTAGCTAAAATACTCATCAAAACTAGCATTTTTATTTCCATATGTATATGGAAAACAATAATGACAGGTGTTTATGTATTGTGGTTTTTAAGCAGAAGTGAGTGGATTCGCATACACACACACACCAAAATTGAACATAGTACAGAGATTTCTTTTCATTCTGTCTTTTTTGACTGGGTGTTTCCCTGCACCCAGGGAATATATATATATATTTGTACACCACTTGTATGCAGAGCAAGGTGCAGATCCCCAGGACCCAAAGTTACAAATGGTTGTGAGCTGCCATATGGGTCCTGGAAATTAAACCCCAGTCCCTCAGAGAGCAGTCAGTGCTCCTAACTGCTGACCCATCTCTCCAGCCCCTCTTTCTCTCCTGTCAGATAACTCACTGAGCAGACGATGTTGCCTGTAGTGTGTATCCCTTGTTCTATAGATGCCCAGGGTCTGCAGGGTCACACTGTGAAAAAAAAAGGAGGGGGCTCTGGCCATGTTGTCACCCCATCACAGTCTGGAAAAGGTTTGGAACAGCTGCAGTAAGGAATTGGATAGGCCATTACAGAAGACAGGAGAAGGGCAGTGAAGGCAAGTTGACTTTAGCTCATGGAGGTTATATTGTACTCAGTGTAGAATACTGAGCACCAGCGTAGAGGCTGCCACCAAACCAGCACCCAGAAATGAAAAGAAAGAAAGGCACTTTCTTCATCCTGAAGGAATTGATGGTGCATGAGCAGGGACAAGTGAATTTAGGCAACTCTGTTTTCTCAAGTGAAACAAGAGAAGGAATTGTTAGAGAAGAGTGGAGGACTGTGGAAATAAAATTGCGATTTGAAGTGCATATGTATCACCAGCTTCTGCTGCATAGCAAACCACTCCAAAACTCAGATGATTTTGTTGCAGTTTTGTTTTGTTTTGAAATAGGGTCTCTTAGAGTCCAGGCTGGCCTCAGATTCACTATGTAGCTGAGGCTAGCCTTGCATTACTAATCCTTGTGTCTCCGCCTCCCCAGTGCTGAATCTGCGGGCCTGTGCTGTCACTTGTCTAAAACACAGAAGCACAATGCAGAGACGTCCTAATAGAGCTCGTGGGTTTGTGGTTGGTCAGTTTGGCTTTGGCTGCTGTGGATGGGCCTGGCACTGCTGGTGTTCATCAGTCTGTGCGGCTGTATGTTGTAGGACAGTCTCATCTCCCTGTCTAGCATGGCAGCATCACAAGGTATCAAAAACAGAGCGGGAAGGAGAGCCCCAGTGCAGATTCTCATGCCTGTGCGTTCGTCATGTTTCCTAACACCTCACCGGTCCAAAGAAGCCACGGTCAAGCCCAGACTCCCCAGTGAAGCAATGCATCCCCACTCTCTCAGTGGCGCTGCAGGGCAATGCTGCAAAATGCATAAAGTCAAAGAGTCTGTGGCCATATTTTCACCTTATCACAGCTTGGAAAAGGTTTGAAATGGCTTCCATAAAGAATCTGATAGGTCATAATAAAAGACAGATGTAAAGGCCACCCCTAAAGCTAACACCCAGAAGTGAAAACTGTCTGGAAATAGAGATTGGCATGCTGGGAGGTTCAGGAAACTACCAGAGGGCCAAGGCTTCTGCCAGATGAGCTCTTACTCCGCCACAAGGCCTTTTTATTAAACCAATATTCCAACCTGTCAGTGGTTGCTATGGGATAACCCTTCTGTATGCTGTGAATATGTGTTACTCTCATTGGTTGATGACAAAAGCTGCTTTGGCCCATAGCGAGGCAGAATAGGGCTAGGCAGCAAAACTAAACTGAATACAGAAAGAAAAGAGGGCAGAGTCAGGGGAGATGCCAGCCAGCCACCAGAGGAGCAAGATGTATTCAAGCACAGGTAAAGCCACGAGACAAGTGACAAAACATAGGTTAATAGAAATGGGTGAATGCAAAGGTAAGAGCTAGTTAGTAATAAGCCCAAGCTATTCAACCAAACAGTTTGTAATTAATATTAAACCCCTGAGTGATTATTTAGAAGCGGCTACGGGGTGGGGCTGGACAGAGAAGCTTCCATTTACAGGTGGTGGTGCTACATTTAATACTAGCACTTGGGAGACAGTGGCAGGCAGATCTCTATGAGGGCAGCCTGGTCTACAGAGCAAGTTCCAGGATAGTCAACACTACACAGAGACATCCTGTTTCAAAAAATAAACAAACTACCATTCTGTACCATATACAGGGATGTGTATATGCTAGGGCAAGCATCCTGAAACTGGGGTATACCTCCATCCTGGAAAATATATTTTAATAATGAACAAAACCTGTAAAAATTAGGTTTACCATAAAATCCAGGGTCATTGTAATTCGTTCGTATATCCCACTACCACCATGAGGAAAGAAACAATTCTAATTTAGGGTAAATCCTTATGGCACATAGAAGTTAATTGTTCCACCAATGTTTTCCTCAAAATGCATTTGCTTAATAGATAAATTTTATCTTATCTGAATTTACAAGATAAACCTAATTAGGAAAATTTTAAATCTCTTCATATATGAAGATTTAATTTGGAAAAGGGCTTTCACTGCTATGATTTTTCGGAGCCAACATTCAAGAGGTTAGACAAAACGAGCCCGTCTAGGCCTTTGATGGATGACATTTTGTATATGTAAAACTGGATATATTCTGTAAAATTAGCAATATGTACAAGCTGAAATGTGTATATGAATATATATTTTGCTTACGTGTGTCTGGGTAAGTCTTCAATAGCCAGTATTATATTAACAAATATATATAACACAATATGTAACAAGAGAAATCATAGTTGTTTTGGGTCACACATGCACAATGGCTATTTTACCTGACTTGGCCATCGGTGCTGGGTTGAATTACAGAGGTGTTTTGGCCATGATCATGTCAGACCTCTTCTCAAGATCTACTTTACCAGATGTGGTGGTGCACAGCGGTAATTCCAACACTTGGGAGGCAGAGGAAGGAGGAGCATCAGCTCCAGAGCAGCTCGTTTACATAATGACATCCTATCTCAAAAACAAGGACAAAGGAGAAATCCTTGACTGACTCTCCACACATTCAAAATAAAATCTAAAGGCCTGATAAGGGATAAGGCCAGAAGCATTTTTTTTCTGACTTCCTCATCTTCTGTCCTCTCCCCTTCAGTTACCTGCTCAGCCAATACCCCAGCCACATTAAGCACCCTCAGACCTTCTACACGCTCTTGCGTGCCTCACCTCCTCCCCTGTACATGGTCTTCTGATTGCATCCATGCTTTTGTTCATGTGTCATCTCATCGTGCAGGTCTTCCTTGGCTCTCTCTACCCTTGCTTTCATTGCTCCATTGTTTAAATTGGCACATAGCCGATGTGTATTTCCTGTCTGTCTCCTGATTAAGACACAGTACTGATCACAAGGACACAGCTTTTACCTCTATGTTCTCTGTGCCTATAACTTAGTAGAAACTGAAGAGGTATTTGCTGACCAAATTAACAAATGGCTCTTCCGACCCTGTTCCCTGATAGTGACACCAATAGGCTATGGTATAAAACCGCTCCAGTCAAACCTACGAATCTGAAGTACTAGAGGAGAAAGAATGAAGCACTGCGTATTAAAGGATGTTTTAGTAATGGCAGTGTGTGCCAGTCTGGCAGGATTTTAAATAACTTTCCACTCTTGTACCCCAAAATACTGTCTCTAAATGTCAGGAAACGAATTAGAGTGCTGTTTCAGCCCCATCTGCCTCAGAAGAGCCCTGAGGAAGACCAGTAGCTATAGCCTAAGTTTGTGATTGGTTACGTTTGCATGTTTCAGATTCATTGTACTTACATTTTAATTAAAATATGAGTTTGAAAACATCTCAAGTCCTTCCCTCTTTGCTGTTCGCTTGTAGGTGTTGCTGTGTTGGAAGGCCCCATGTACGCGGTAGGAGGGCATGACGGCTGGAGCTATCTGAACACCGTGGAGCGATGGGACCCTCAGGCTCGCCAGTGGAATTTTGTTGCCACTATGTCCACCCCCAGGAGCACAGTAGGTGTGGCTGTACTAAGTGGAAAGTAAGGAGATATTTGAAGTTCTATTTTGGTCACAATAAATACATTTATTATTGCATAGAGGACTACTTCGAGCAAGCTAACGAAGCCTTTCCAATAACTTCTGTCCATAAGAGCCCTAATTGCTCATTGATGAGCTTTCTTTCTAACGTTCAGGGACCACACATTTCTAATTTGGAATGAATAAGTTTTATAAAAATATTCAATGTTAAATTGCACAGTAATAATCTGGTGGTTTAAAGTCCCTTAAAATGATTTGCTCTTTTTAAAGGAACACGGTGGGTTGGGGAGGTGTTTACAGTTAAAGTGCTTGTGGAATTAGCATGAGGACCAGAGCTGAAAGGCATACAAGTATCCACTGGGCATTGCAGCCCACCTGTCCCTCCAGCCTGGAAAGGCAGAGACAGCATCATCAGACAAGCTGCCTAGCAAGGCTGGCCATATCCAGGAGCTGTGGGTTTGATTGAGAGGCCTGCCTCGGTGCATATGATTAAAGAGCAGTGGAGGAGGAGGATACCTGACATCAGCTTCAGGCTCCACGTGCACACACATGCACCTATATGTGCACCCACAAACCTGTGTGCCCACATACACACATACAAGAATATGCATACCCACATGGATAAAAATGGAAAAATTGATACATACAGTTAAAAATTAAAATACTGTGATCTCTTGGTGTTTCCCTAAAGACTTTTCTACACTTTTGTGCCCCGTCTTTCCTATCATGGTAGACTAGTGACCTCGGGATGGATTTAGGAAAAGGTGTTTGCCTCCCCTTTGTCTGCTGTAAATAAACAGATTTATAGAGGTCTCATGGCTCTCGGTTATATAAGGACCAAATACAAACCTTTTCAGCCCTTCCTTCTACCATAAAATAAATCCCTTGGTGGTTTCTAATTAATTCCTTTGTTTCGTTGCTTTTGCACTATCGCTCACAGAAAGAGGGAGGAAGGAAGTTAACGCAAACTGTGAAGGTCCTTGTAGAGCTGTGGTATAAAGAAAGTAAGATGAGTCGGGAGGCACACCTCCTTAGCTCCAGCATGCAGGAGGCAGGCGCAGAACTCTTGAGTTACTGAAGCAAGCTTGCCCTACATAATGGGTTCTAGGACAGCCAAGACTACAAAGTGAGACCCTGGCTCAAAAGACCACAGCAAAAGAAATTTTAAAATATTAATAAATATTGTCCTATTTATGCCTAAGCTCATTTCCTCAGGACCCATTGTTAAGTCCTTTGTGGTGTTGTTGTAAGTGCCTCATGGGCAGGGAAATGGAAATCGTCTTTCCAGATGGAACCATCTAATGGTATCATATCTTCTTCCTTAATGTCAGCTAACTTCAGCCTGCTGCGTCATCCATGGCACCTTAAATTCAGTGAGCTGTCTTAGGAGACGCTTTTTTGCGGTCAGCCTGACCACAGCTCTGTTTCCCATCTGTCATCCCGTTTGCTCTTCTTTACAGACTTTATGCAGTTGGTGGCCGCGATGGGAGCTCTTGTCTCAAGTCCGTAGAGTGCTTTGATCCTCACACCAATAAGTGGACACCGTGTGCCCAGATGTCGAAAAGGAGAGGCGGCGTAGGCGTGACAACCTGGAATGGACTGCTGTATGCGATTGGAGGACACGATGCTCCCACATCCAACTTGACTTCCAGACTTTCCGACTGTGTGGAGAGGTAATCCCTGTGAAGGAAAACTAAGAACTAACAAAAGAAATTAAGTTTCTCACACTTCTAGACAAAGTAATAAGTCTGTTCTGAGCATCCAGTGTGAACAGTGGACTCTCTGCTCTGGCTGTCTCTCCACCTGCCTTCCCGCCGCCTACTTGGATTGGGATTGAGCACATAATGACACACTGAGACAACAGTTTATCGTGTAGCCATTTTGTACTGGACTCTGAACCTTACCATTAAAGTAAAGGAGTTTGATGAACTCTCCGAAAGGATGAATTGGGGCTGGAAGCCACATTAGAAGTGGAAAGGAAAAGGACATAGCTGACCCATTTTGATGTACAGTGAAATAATAGAAAACAATAAAATAATATGAAAAGTTCTTGTAAGTCTTTAAGGCTTCACCAAGTCATCCATAGTAGTTGTAAGAAACTCAGCTTTTAGGTCAAGTAGAGGCCTATTAGCAGTGAAGATTTGGGTGGCAGGCTGCGTCTTCATATTGGTGTAGGAGGTCCTTCTGTATTTGTGTTGCTTTCGTTAGTTAAATAAAGAAACTTCCGTGGGCTTTTGATAGGGTCATACTTAGATAGGCGGGAAGACAGAACTGGATTCTGGGAGGAGGAAGGCAGACAGGGAGAGCCGCCATAAAGTCGCCAGGTCAGAGACACTAAATCTTTCCCGGTAAGCCACAACCTCGTGGTGATACACAGATTAAGAAAAATGGGTTAGATCAGGATGTGAGAGTTGGCCAAAAAGAGGCTAGATATAATGGACCAGGCAGTAATTAAATTAATACAATTTCTTTGTGGTTATTTCGGGGGTTAAGCTAGCAGGCGGCCAGAACAAGGGGCCCGCACTCCCTACTACACATATAATATTTTTTATTTAGTTTAATGACAAGAGAGATTTGGATACATTTTATAGGAAGAATCATGTGTGAACACTCCAGAACAGAAAAGAATGTGGTTCACATGGGAAATGAAGGGCTACTGTGTGGCCAGAGAGCAGAGTAGTGGGAGAATGCCGGGGAGAGGACAGACTGTGGGGGTCACACAGAGTGCTGGAGCATTAGTACCAACTTTAGATTTTAAACAGGCATATGAGGGCTGGAGAGGTGGCTCAGTGGTTAAGAGCACTGGCCTCTCTTCCAGAGGTCCTGAGTTCAATTCCCAGCACCCATATGGCAGCTCATAACTATCTATAACTGTGATCCCTTGCAATCCAATGTCCCCTTCTGGTGTGTAGCTGTACATGCAGACAAACACCATGTACATAAATATGTAAATAAATCTTTAAAGGAGAATGTGAAATCAGTGAGTACCAGAAAAGGTGAACGGATCCTCTTTTTTTGAGGTTGGAGTTACTTACTTAGTAAGCTGTAAATGACAAGAGGACTGGTCAGATAAAGTCCAGGCTTGCTGGTGATAGCAAAGAGTCTCGGATAACAACCAGAGCTGGTGTTTGTGGAAGGCGGTTAATTTACGACCGCATCTCATCTGTAGTGGAGAGAAGGTAATTCCGACTCTGCTCGTTACATACAATGATCCAGGAAGGAGATATAGGAGTCTTTTATGTGATTTGTCCCACCGATAAAAAGGTGGGTATTGATGCCAGAAACATCAGAAGCAACATGGCTGTTAACATGAAGTGTCAACCCTTTAAATGACGTCGTTGAGCAGTTCTAGTTTAAAAAGAACGAAAAGGCTAAGATAATTGCTTTGCCCACATTTTCCGCAGGGACACTGAAGCCTTGAAGCAGTTTTACTCTTATATTCATGTTGGGTTCTTAAGGGTGCTATCTACTAAATGAAACTATAGCACCATAAGTTTGAAGGTTTTAGGAAAACACTGATCTTTTCCTCCAAAATGTGTTCAGCATATTTATATCACAGATAAGGCGGAAGGTAGGCTTGACGGACAGACGTTTTTACACGAAATATTTCAAGAGCAGTATCAGCTCCCATTGTAAAATTTTCTTTCAGATATGATCCCAAAACAGACATGTGGACTGCAGTGGCATCCATGAGCATCAGCAGAGACGCGGTGGGGGTCTGTTTACTTGGTGACAAGCTGTATGCTGTTGGGGGTTATGATGGGCAGACCTACCTGAACATAGTGGAGGCTTATGATCCCCAGACAAACGAATGGACCCAGGTATGCCGCTTCCCTTTCCATTATCTTGTACTGTGAAAACAACTCTTCCGATAAGACCCTCCCGACTTTGTCCAACATTGACAGTCTCACACGTGTGTGGGCTTGGAGAGAGGAGAGCATTTGCTGCTATTGCAGAGGACCCAAGTTTGGTTCCCAGCCCTGGAGGTTCACAACATCCTTTAACTATAGGTCCAGGGGACCTGATGTCATCTTCTGGTTTCTATGGGAACCACACACATAGTACATATACATACATGCAGGCAAACACTCATACACATAAAACAAAAATAAAGCAATCTTTTTTAATGAAATAAAGTTGCCTCTTGACTAAATATAAAAAACAATAGACAGTGTCTGATTTTATAACAAAATGCCAATTCCTTTGAAGTAGAAATGAATATTCAGATAAGTTATTAACCAGCACTCGTTTGAAGAAATGTTCTAGCAGTGGCAGCGCTGACAGGACTGGGGGGGGAGGGGGTTGCACCAAAGGGACAAGGGTGCTGCAGAAAATAGGTGAGGATCGGGATCAGAAGTATCAGTTTACCCATACGTGAGTAATAAGTTTTAAATACTCAATATCTTGGAGCATATTGAATTTCCAGTTATAATCTAATAAATGGCAAACCTAAATTATGTTAACAAGTTAAAAACTCAATGTGCTGAGCTTATTAACAAAAGGCTTATAGCTACCCACGTTTCATTGGGGAAAAGCCCTATCCTTTGGGAAATGCATGGTGTCCGGCATTAAGCAGCTGGTCACATTGTGTCTGCACTCAGGAAGAATGGCACAGTAAATATCAGTGCCTGTTTAGTCAGTCTTCTATTGCTGTGAAAAAGACACCGTGTCCAAGGCAGTACTTAGAAAATAAAGCATTTAATTGGGGGAATCATTTCCAGTTTCAGAGAGCTATTCCATTATCACCATGGTGGGGAGCATGGCAGCAAGCAGGCAGACGTGGCCTCAGAACCAAGCACTTTACATCCTGACCCATAGGCAGCAAACAAAAGACAGAGACTGGACCTGGTGTGGGCTTTTGGAACCTCAAAGCCCAGTT